GTGCGAGAATCGTACACTGCAGGCGTCCAGTACTACAGCTAGTGTTTCACGGACATGGTTTTTACAAATATGGCTACAGACCACAGAAGGCTTTATATAGTGTAGTGATACACTGGTGCTGTAGCGTAGTACCAGGCAGGACTCCACTTTGTCTCCAGAACCAGTTCAACCACTGTTAAGCTGAGAATTGACATGACCTTCTGCATGCTACTTTAACAAAAGTCTGGCTCTGGCCTCTCTCATTAGCAAGGTGTTTTTTCTTTATCCCACCTTCCTCTTCAAACTGAAGATAATGTAGCGTGTTAAAATGCCAGGAGGGTTGCTGCTTCTGAGATGCTGAAACCACCACCAAGTATATCACATTTAAAATCACCCAGATCACATGTCTTAGCCATTGTAATGCTACAGTAACTGAACATTTTGACTTGGTGTACATGCTGTTACACATCGTGGCAGCCATGTGTTTTGCTGATTGGAGTAGCAGACTTTTTGCAGGCAGGTGTACCTCATAAGGTGGCCACTCAGTATACATACATACTGGGTTCACTTTCAGGGGAATTTAAACAATGGAGGAAACGTGGATTGTTGACAGCCGTAATTAGAAAAGCATGATTCCTGAAATATTACTACCACAATAAGAGGAGAGATTAGTGCTGATGCAGTAGGCTTAAACAGCGAGGGACTTACCACAGATTGACATGCATACGAAACAATAATATGATCCAATCATGAGCTCCAGTGAATATAGATTTGTCAGTTTTCCAAAAACTGCTAGTAGGATATTGCGCACATTGCCCGAGCAATTGCTTGTATTTTGTAATTCACTACGTATTCATGAATTTTCAGCTAATACTGCCTTTCCTCACTATCATCCTGAAGTACGCTGGATTTATTATCTTCCTAAAAGCTTTCAGAAAGCTTTAAAGTTATTGTAAGGTGATGATGCAGTGAAAAAATAAGTAAATAAAATTGACGGTCACAGGACTAACCTAGCTAAAATGATTAGTTGGGTAACACTTTTCATGTGGCCAAGAGGTCAAATACGCCTAAATACATCAGCAATAAACAATCATAAAACTATACATGCTACACTGAGAAGTATTTGCCAAATTAAACTTGACTCATTTCAGGCTCACTGTGGAAAATCATAACGCAATAACTTTTGTGAACCCATTGTTCCTTTTTTGCCAAATGGTTATATACCCAAAACACATACAAACTTTTTGCTTTAGAAATGTTTCCATTTCAGTTATGCTTTTGCACATTTAATTTTTTGTATTTTCTATAAAGAATAGCTAGACTCATCATCTATGCCTTATTCTCGAATTTGTGGTGAAATAAAAGTAAAATATTCAATACCAACCTCCATTCTTTAAAAGAAATGCTGTAATACAAATTGAAAAAATACATTTTTCAAAACATAAATTTTTCATTATTATCAAACCTTTAAATCTTAACAAAGTGCCTAACAATTTAGTTTAAACTCTTCAAATTTAAACATTAAAATTTAGTGGATAATACAATTTTTTTTCTAAATGGCTCAGTGAGTGAAGTATTTAACCATGAGTGTTCATGTCAAAAATCATTGCGAAAACCGATACGGATTGACTAATGGATCTTAAGTTTCAGTGTAAAACAAAATTCTCAGATGTTTCAGTATCGAAGACAGATGGACACCACAAAGTTTAATTTGATTTGAATAAAAATACTTTAAAGGATAGTACTTTATTATCACCAGAATTATTATTGTTTTTCTTACCACCAAAATAAGCAATTTGACAAGTTTCAAATTCGGCATTAAGATCTAAATCAAAGCACCAAAGCAGGTCTGTGTGCACATGAAGGTCCAGCAGCGTGGGATTTTGTTCACACAAGGGTTTTGTGTTGCTTTGAGCTATTACATTATCACCATTTATATAATGAGATTATTTTGTGAAACATTTGTAGTTACTAGTAGATAGACACTTAAAGAGTCCTCTGTGTCCGTATTTATATTATTTGTATAATTCAACCAGGAGATCACAGTCTAGCCCAAGCCACACAATGAAGACAGTATTGTGACGATAACTGTAGCTTTCCGTGTGGTGTCCTCTGTACCACATCACGTGCCTGCATCCGTCTGAGCGAGAGGGCACGGTGAGGGTGGCATGGTGAGGATGGCATGGTGAGGATGGCACGGTGATCCAAAGGCCTCTTACTTACGGTGAGGCACTCATCTGTGACACAGGGAGACTGGAATTTGTGGTTCATTATAGCTGTAAAAGCCAAACACTAAGGAATAAGATGGACACATTGAGGAAAAAATATACTGCATAAAGCAGTCACATTTTCATACCAATAATGCCGGAATATCTACGTGTAATTACAGCGGAATCTGTCTCCATGCCATTGATGAACTGATTACTGGTATTTTCCATGTAGCCAAATTATTCCTGGCTTGTGTAGAAGCTGAATAAAGCAGTAAAGCAGTCATTGGCTGCATGTAAATCCATCGCATAGGACACAGAAAGGGCAAATCCATTTGCCACGACTATGCTTTCATTTTTTTTTCCAATAAATCTCCATTAAACAAAGAATGGATGTATAATACTTGCGAGGTATGCTTTCCAAACCACATTTGACATCTATTTGGAACCACAGTAAATCAACCTTCATGGTATGCGTCTCAGTTGCAGTATCTTGCAAAAGATCTATGCAATGTGACCTACATTTATTGTAGCGTCCAGGAATCCTTTTACTTGTTTTTTTAAATATTTGTAAATACATATTGGTAAGTGGTTATGAAAAATGGATTAATGGAAATTAATGCAAGGCACCGTATATGTGAAATAATATGCAATATTAACATGCTTAGCAAAATTGGTCACAAATGTTCCATCTTAAGTCGTTGACTAAAAAATTGTATTAACAAATCTATGCTGTGTTACTGTGGTACCAAGATCTTTAATACCTTGAATTAATTTTTACCAGTGTAAGAACACTATTGCTTTGTATACTTTGAGTGTGATAAAGTACCATCCAATCTGAATATGTGGTCTTTAGAGAGCTACTGGGTAGAGATGAACACTTGACCCCATTCATCTCTATCTCCCTGTTCTAGGTTACAAGTGCTAGTGCACTTGAGCTATTAACCTGAGAGAGAAAACCACGTTTCACATCTTCTTAAATCCAAACAAAGTAGCATGGGGTGTTTCTATGGGTCTAAAAGTACAACGTGACACCTGGGAGGTGAAAGCAGAAGCCTCTCCCTGGATTTGTAGTTGCTTGATCTGAAATGCCCAACTCTGCTCGGCCCAGTACCACCAGCATCTGCTGGTGTGGGAAAGGTGGTTTTCCAGTATAAGATGGCAGGGTCCAAGAGGCAGGAACTGCCAGGGATTCAGGGTCCTTCATCTCAGATGGACCCTTTGCATTCATACAGACTCAGCCCCCCCCCAGGCATTACAGCCCAGGGCAGATATGGGTGCACAGCCAGTGTTTCCCTGCTTATTCCTTCACACTGCATTCTCTGCAGGTGCAGAAAAAGCTGGGAGCACGTCTGGTTTTTGTAAACATTATTTCGCAGATTAGCTACACGGGCGCATGAAGACTTATCTCCATGCATGGGGATTACCACCAAAGACCTATGTCCGTGAAACACTAGCTGTAGTAACATTCTGAAATGAAATCAATGAGAATATCACCTGTTTTTCACCAAGACTGCAGACAGTCTGAAAATGAGGCAGAACTCAAAAGACTGTGACATACAGACAGTAAAATTCACCTAAACTAAAACAATAAAAAGACTGAATCTTTTCCCAAGCTGTAATTCATTACGTCTAATTATACCCCTTCCCCACCTTAAATAACTAGCCATGGTGATGGAACCTAGTCTGGCCTCCCAAACAAATGGGATGGTAAAGGAAACACTGTTACCTGCGAAAGTACTGGGCCCTGCGCTGTGTTTTTAGGAATGTCTACAGCAGGGGTCTCCAACTCCGGTCCTGGAGAGCTACCGTCCAGTAGGTTTTCTATCATACCCGGCTTCTGATGAGCCACACCTGTTCTCAGGTAAATACCAGGAGCAGGTTTGGCTCATCAGAAGCCAAGTGGGACAGAAAACCTACTGGATAGTAGCTCTCCAGGACCGGAGTTGGAGACCCCTGGTCTACAAATACCCAAATTACCCTGTAGTGTGCAGTTGCTGGGTGCTCTTCCCACCATAATGTCAAAATACCATGAAACACTGTAAAACTCTCTCAGCAAAGCAGATATCCAGCTATCATTGTGCCAACAGCAACACAGGGCTGCAGATGTATAATGGATAGCTACACTGTTGCAGTGGAGGGCCCTGTTCAGCCATTTGTTTCTAGCTTGATGCAATCTTAGACTGTGATAATTATCACCTTTGAGGAGGTTCCTAGTGAATCATCCCCTAGAACCACGGTGCTCATAAGAAAAGTTGAATTTTTCTATGTTCAGGTCATTATAAAAGGAAACCAACAAAATGAGATTCTTTGATTATTTTTAACTTGTTCCCATAATTAAGGGCAATTTTTTGGCCAGTATAAAATATTGTTTGCCAATATTAAGACCAGTTACATTTAGTTTAGCAACACAAACATATTTGGCAAAATTACCGAAGATCTTGGTGTGTATGGAGCCTGCCACAGATGCAGAGGAAACCCCCAGAAATATGTGTCAGAACATGCAGATTCTGCTCACAAGCAGCCAAGGGCCAACATAAGACCCAGAGCCCTCAAGGCGTGAGGCTACGCTGCTAAGCACTGGGCCAACTTTATACTAAAACCATATTCTGAGCTGCAGTGGACACATTTCATCTGAAGAAACCTACACATAGCACAGGCTGGCAGAAATGTTTGCAGTTAGGAGTATTTGCAATAGCCAGTGACACAGGTGTTCACGTTTGTCAGGAGTAAGTTAACAGGAGACTCAGAAACAGGGAGAGAGTGATGTCACACAGTGCATGTATACAGCATATAAACATTATGCAATAAACAAAACAACGTAATGTCTCTTTTTAATGTTATATATAAATTACATACAAGACATGCTTTGTTTTGGTTTTTGACCTTTTAGGACAAGAAGCTGCTGTGACAGTGTACAACCGCATAAAACACTGGACAACAGAGAAAAATAAGGATACCAAAGAAACAGACATTTTGCGGTCTCAGGCCCACATTCCCATTCAATATTCTTCATGAACCCTTGTATCTGTAGAATGATTTTTGATTACTCTCCTGAACATATATAAAATAAAACCTTGAAATATTACACGAGAGTGCATCTCACGGCAGGATAGCAGATACGGTACAGTCTGTAAGGTTTAGGAAGGAGAATCATTTAATTTCAGACAGTTCTGACAGCTCAAAGATACACACAATCCCTGTGGCCAGAGGAGCCATACAGCTTCAGAATGCAAACAGGAAGTTACAGTGATCTAGTACTGAATACATCACCCTCTAAAGAATACCTAAAAAAAAAGTCACTTCCTGAAAGTTGGAGGTAGGGCACATGATGAAAACCAACTTGAGTTTCTCTGTGAGACAAACAAGAGGCCCCAAAGCTTAGTCACCCATAAGGCAATTTACTCATGTATCAGCTCATTTTAACAGGAATAAAAGTTTTACAGTATCTGAGCTTCAGCTCATGAGCCCTAAAATGTCCCTTATGCTTTCAGAGGAGGGCGACCATCAGGGAACAGGCAAAAAGTGGCAGTCTGAAAGCCTCCATTCAGTCAGACAGCAAGGCATAAAACTTTACAAAGTCCACATGATTAAAACCTTACTGTAAATAGAAGCTCTTCTCAATGCCCACTAAGAAGGGCTAAGAAAGGATTGGCAAGTAAAACAAGAAGTTAAAAAATATATATATATACTGTTAGCATGAGACAGAGTTGCCATTTTCAGAAGCTTACAATAGATAGTGGTGTCGATAGCAGAAGTAACAGGTGAGAGGAGATGCTTAAGGCAATACTGGTGTGCGACATGTCCACTGGGGCACTGGGGGGTGAGGCAGGATGGGGGGCAGGTTACTTGTCCTGCATTTTCTCCAGGATGGGCACGATCATGTCAAATTTGGGCCTCTTAGCTGGGTCCTCATTCATACAGATCCTCATGAGTTTGCAGATGTGGGGCGAGATTCCAGGCGGGATTGTGGGTCGGAGGCCCTCTAGAGCGACCTGTAGGCACAGGGAGACAGGCATAAGGGGGTGTCTTTCTGGTATTTCTCATCATAATAAATGCTTCCTTAACTGTGAAGTGACACAGGGGAATAAGACATTTGGGAATTGGTGAACTCGTCATGGAATTGAACTTGTAGTTTGAGTGGCTGTGGGGCTTTTCTGAATATGAGGCCGAGCTGAGCTTCCAGCCTCAGCTTAGGCGTGCCTCACCCACCCACCTTCATGCCAATCTCCATGTTGGAGAGATCAGCGAAGGGCACCTCCCGAGTCACCAGCTCCCACAGCAGCACTGCAAAGCTCCACATGTCCGCAGAGCGCCGGTTGATCTCCTCTGGCTTCTTCTGCAAGGCTGTGTGCGTGTGTGTGTGTGTGTGTGTGTGTGCGTGTGCATATGTGTGTTCAGAGAATGTGGGGGTGGGGGTTGGGGAAAAGCAAAGAGTAAAATGTTAAAGACCCCCATGCCTATCCCAGCAGTCCCTGGAGAAACCTTGATCTGCACCATTTGCACCAGGCTCATGAAAAACCAACATCCCAAGTGGGTGACTAAAGCTGCAAGAAATCTGAGTATGTCTGGAGTGATGAAAGCAAATATTTGCGGTAAAGAACCGCCATCTACAGCAGTGACATCATACACACATGCATTCCATAGACATCCAGCCATGAGGAACCACAGGGAATGGCCCTGCGCAACATGCCACTCCATCACAGGGCACATTCACACTCACAACAGACTCAGTGCAGTTTAGAGAAGCTGATTCACCATGTTTCTGAACAGCTGGAGGAAAATCACACAAGCAGAGAGAACAAGCAAGATTCACATACAGAGAGCTGGCAGAAAGAAGCAGCATCCTGAACCATGGGCACCCTAACAACTCACAATGTCATAGAACAATTAACCCAAACCATTATGCCAAGAATGGAACACCAATGTGTGTGTGTCTCACTCTCTCTATTATTCATATACTGTATATACACACACACACACACACACACACACACACACACACAACAGTATGACAGTATATGACAATTGGCTCTAATCATTTCCTGCACATCTGAGCATATATGGTTCAGAATGGGATAAGGCATCCCCAAAATATCCTAGAATGTGCCTCGAGTTGAATAAAACAGGACATGACAGCACATGTGAAGACTTGGAGACAGTGTACCTTCAGGTGCCATCCAAGCAGGCGAGTACATTCTGCCCGGACACTGAAAGGAGAACTTCACGTCTGCCATGCTTATCCGGGCTGTCATGTCCTCATCAATCTGTCAGTCACAGCAAGGAAATTCAGCCCATCAAGCACAAGCAAACTCATGAAGCCACACACAATATGGACATAACTGAGCACCATACCGTGCCAATTGTCTCTTACACTACTCCATGTTTATCTGACACTTCCTCTACATACTGAAACTGACCACTACTATAGACCACAGATCTCACAGGCATGACTGCAATTGGGTTATTTTAATTATACAAACACACACACTCCAACAAACAAGTCTGAAACAAATAAAAAGCATTATATCTCAATAAGACAACAGTATACAGTAGAGATTCTTTATCTGGTACAGAACTGCTAAGCACCAAGGAATAGCATAGCAAGGCAAAGGCTAAAGAGGGATATGTGGGAGAATATAGGCATCACCCACACGCCTACAAGATGTGACTGACTGACGAACCGAAGAATGGCCAGTGCTTGTGTGGGAAGGATGAAGAGGAGGGCGAGTGGCTCACCATGACGCCCTTGCTATTGAGATGGTGGCGAGGGATCATGGGCTCCAGCGTGTGCAGGAAGGCCATCCCACACCCGATGTCTAGCGCAAACTTGACAGCCTGCATCTGATCCACCACAAAGTCTGCCGAGAGACAAGCCCGAAGTCGGCTGTGCAACGAGACCTCAAAGCGACAAGCCAACGTCTGATGCGCGGCAAGAACAGCAGGAGATTAAACATCAGTCTATGTAATCAGATGGCTGCAAATGCCATGGGGGTAATCTGTTATACCATTAAACATTTTTCAGTAAATTCACACTCATGGTTAAATTATTAAACAGCACTTAATGTTATCAGCCAATCAAGTAATCAACTGGCCTAGACTCCTCTTAAAGGTGTGTTTATAAAAAAAAGTGAATGACTACTACTGATAAGACAGACAAAACTAATCAAGCGGAGGTACTCACTGGTGCCCTCGTGAAGCACATTGTAGAGCGAGCCATAGGGCATCCAGTGTGTGATGATAATGGGGTGGGGGGCAGGAGGCGACTGACACGCCCCCAGCATGGGCAGCACGTTTGGATGGGAGAATATCCTGGAGGTGGGAGCAGGACAGGGATGGTACACAGAGAGGATGGGAGGCAAGACAAGACAGGCTCAAAAAAAAAACACACACACTAAAGTACACAGACCATGGAGAATGAGCCATAGGTAAGATGGGAGACAAACACATACCAACCAATACACATGGAAGACCATTTAAATCAGGGGTCATCAACTATATTTGTCAGAGGGCCAGAGTTTTACCAGACAGTCTCCTTGGGGGCCGGACCCCCAAGAAGAAAATCAAATAAAAATCTAATTTTGGCTTAACATTATGTTTAATGTTTATACTTTTTACATTTCATTACAAAACTGAAGGCATTTGATTCAGGCTCCCATACCTATACCACAGTCAACCACTAGGAGCGGTGTGGACCACTATTTTCTTTTTGATCCTCACAATTTTGGAATCCAGTCGCAGGCCGGATTGAACGGCTCAGCGGGCCGGATTCGGCCCGCGGGCTGCCAGTTGATGATCAGTGCTTTAAATGAACCCTTTGGTGAAGAAGTACTCAAAAAGTTTAACAGCTCTGCAAACCTCAGTTTTGGATATTCTTCATTAAAGTCACGGCTCTTCCTGGTGGTCCAGTCTCGGACCTTAAGCACTTTAACCACAATCTCGTTTCCTTGCCAACGCCCATGCCACAGCTGATGGTAAACAGAGAAATAAATTAATCTTTAAACATGCAATACTAATAATTCTCCAATTATACAATAAAAAAAACGATGACTGAATTACTACTAAAAATGACTACCTCTCCAGAGTGATTCTCATTAATCTTGGTCAGAAGGGACAGCTGTTTGAAGTCAATCCCAGCATGTTTGTTCAGAGTGCCATTACCTATGCAAAGATAAGGTGAAAGCCCAAGCAATAATCACATCAGTGAATGATTACAAAGATTCCCATTACAATGAAAAAAAGTAAGTAAAGGAACACTATGTGAAGAGGGGTGGTAATCACACAATATCAAATAATATATTGTTGCACGTGACTGCTCATAAAATAACAAAGATCTTTCAAAATAAATAAGTAAAACAGGAATGAAAAAGGCAGATTCCCGCAAATACAGTATCCTAAAATGCGACGTACGGGGCCGGGTTCGAGTGGTGCCTTTCCAGAAGGTGTCCTTATAGGGGATCTTATTCAAGTTTTGTCCAAGCTTCTCTGCACGCTCTGTAGGGGGCGGCAAAGAGATGTGTCACAATGTAACAAAGGAGAGAATGGAAAGAGGACACTCAGACACAGAGCCATGAGAGGATGAACCAGAGAGTGGAGGCAGTGGGATGACTAACAAGACACTAGGCTGCATACCTTTCAGAATGTCCTGAAGGTGGGGCTTAGCCTTGTCCAAAGGCGTCTCTCCATATTTATTACATATACTCACTTGGGCACCATTAGCCACCAAATCCTGAAAGAGCATGATATGTTACAGCCGAAATGTTTAGATCCCAGTTTTTTTTTCTAACGCCACCTTGTATGTAAAGATATTAAAGTGCTTGGATGATATTTTCAAACAACTTGTAAGGTGTATTTCAAGAAGAGACCACTAGAGGGAGAACTGACCTCAGCCACCATGTCCTGTCCCCAGAAGCAGGCGTAGTGCAGTGGGGTGTTGCCATGCTCGTTGGCTGCATTGGTATCTGCCTTGCACTGGATTAGCTGGGAGACGGAGGACAATCATGAGCACATACAGTAAACGGGTCTGTGTCAGGCCAATGGCACATTTAGTTTACAATCAAAAAAGGAAGAAAAAAAAAACCCCAACAAACATGGGGAACATGATCTTTAACACGCATAGCAGCAGCACATGACAGGTGATCAACTGCAGCAACTGAGTTAGACAGGTGAAAAGGGACCAGAACATATTTAAACTCTGAACAAACATTACTGTTCAATGTGGGAAGAGAGCAGGAAAAGTCCCCTTCATCTGCCACGTCACTGGTTATTAAGTCTGCGCACCGGCTCCCCACCTTGGTGACGATGTCGCGGTGCCCGTGGCTGGCGGCCAGGTGCAGGGGCGTGTCGTCACCGCGGTTCATGACGTTGATTCGGGCCCCCCGCATGATGAGCATGTCCACCACGTTGGAGCGGCCCTCACGGCACGCCCAGTGCAGGGGGCTGAAGCCATGGTCATCTCTGGGGGGGGGTTTGGACAAAGAGCAGGAAGTGTCACAAGCGCGTTTCCCCATGAAGGAAGGCTGTGCGCCCAAAGTCAGGCAGCATGCATCCGAGTGCTGATAAGAGCATGTTTGCTCTGGTATAATACTAACACTCCTTTCTCACTGCAAGCCAAGACATACAAAGTACATTCCTGCAAAACTTCAAGCCCATCGCCTAAGAAATATCATTTAAAATGTGAAAGACTGATGAATACAAAAATGGCATAAAGGTTTTAGTCTCTTGCTGAATTATACATAAATTCAAAGGAAAAAAAGCAGGTGCTTTATTGAGCTGTTTCAGGTCCTCTTTCCCAATAAGACCCAAAAAAGAATGCACACTTCAGAATGTACACAGTATTTGTAAAATATACACTTCAAAATGAATCTTGTAATGTATCCAAGAATTGATTTCTTTCCTGCATTTGGTTTACTTTAATTTGCAGGCAAGTTAACTTACTTTCCACTCCAAAAATTCCCAGTTTCTCTGGTTTCCTAAAGTGCTCTGGTGTGACTGAGATAGGTAGGAGAAAAAGAGCAGCCACTGGTTGTGCTGAATCATGGAGTTCGTGGCTGAGCACTGATGCATCAGTGACATGAGATGACCGACCATATGTATAATTCCCTAAAAAAACTTGCACAACAGAACTGAGTGCAAACAAAAAAAGACAACAACACGTTAAGATTTCTCAAAAATAATTTTCGCAAAATAAATCCAGGACTACTTTAGGAAGAGGCCAGGCTGAGTTGCAGAATATCGCAATATTGCAAGTTTTACTTACACAATCACAACACCGACATTCACCCTAACATGCTAAAATTACATTCCTAATAAAGCTGTATCCCAAGCACCAGACAGGGTACTATAACATGAGAAGAGTACTGCATTAGGATATACAGTTGTGTTCAAAATAATAGCAGTCTGACATCACCATACCTGTCAAGTTTTGGATTTGAAAAAAAGGGAAATTTTCCAGCACCCATTCACTAATGACTTATTATACAGATTTGTTGCAGACTTTGTATCCTTGTTGAAGTCGTCACAGAAGGTGAAAGTAACATTGTTTTTGGCACACAGCATTGCCATTTTAACCTCCGCATTTATGACCTGGTTAATGTTGTAAATGACCTGCAGACTACTGCAGGTGGCAGTTCTCATGAGGCTACTGACAGTTCAGTTTGGAGAGGCAGAGGAATTTTTTTTAAATGATATTATAATACAGGAGATTTACGGGAAAATACTAATACGGGAGGGCGGCGGGAAAGAGGGGTAAAATACGGTAGTTTCCCGGCCAAAACGGGAGACTTGACAGCTATGGACATCACTAACCTGATCAATCACAGTTTTTGGTAGAAATTATATTTCGACATGGCAAATAATTTACTAGTAGGTATAGTAGAGTAATGGAAAACCAACAGACCCAACAGTCATGACATACATGCTGCTGATTATGTGTAACAGAATCATTACTTGAAAGGGGCATGTTCAAAATAATAGCAGTGTGAAGTTCAATTAGTGAGGTCATTCATTCTGTGAAAAAGTAGGTGCCAATTATGGGCCTTATTTAATGAAGGAAGGCAGCAAATGTTGTACATGCTGGTTATAGTGCATTTCTCTCTGAAATTCTGAGTAAAATGGGTCATTCCAGACATTGTTCAGAAGAACAGCGTACCTTGATTAAAAAGTTGATTGGAGAGGGGAAAACATATAAAGAAGTGCAGAAAATGATAGGCTGCTCAGCTAAAACGATCGCAAATGCTTTAAAATGGCAACCAAAACCTAAAAGACGTGGAAGAAAACGAAAAACTACCATTGGAATGGATCGAAGAATAGCCAAAATGGCAAAGACTCAGCCAATGATCAGCTCCAGGAAGATCAAAAGACAGTCTAAAGTTACCTGTGAGTCCTGTTACAATCAGATGACGCCTATATGAAGCTAAGCTATCTGCAAAAAGCCCCCGCGAAGTACCATTGCTGAAAAAAAGACGTGCTGAAGAGGTTACAATTTGCCAAAGAACACATTGACTGGCCTAAAGAGAAATTCCGCAACATTTTGTGGAAGCAAGATTGTTCTTTTTGGGTCTAGTGGCTGCAGACAGTTTGTCAAATGACCCTCAAACACTGAATTCAAGCCACAGTACACTGTGAAGACAGTGAAGCATGGTGGTGCAAGCATCATGTTATGGGGATGTTTCTCATACTACGGTGGCAGGCCTATTTATCACATACCAGGGATCACGGATCAGTTTGAATACCTCAAAATACTTGAAGAGGTCATGTTGCCTTATACCAAAGAGGAAATGCCCTTGAAATGGGTGTTTCAACAAGATAACGACCCCAAATCCACCAGTAAACAAGCAACATCTTCGTTCCAGACCAACAAGATTGACGTTATGGAGTGGCCAGCCCAATCCCCAGACCTTAATCCAATAGAAAACTTGTGGGGCGACATCAAAAATGCTGTTTCTGAGGCAAAACCAAGAAATGTAGTCCAATCAGGCTGGAATACCTGTTCACAGGTGCCAGAAGTTGGTCGACTCCATACAACACAGATGTGCAGCATTTATCAGAAACAGTGGTTATACAATTAAATATTAGTTCAATGATTCAAAGGAAAACAAAATCTTAAAACATTTTTCAGTTCATAGAGTGAGTTAGAGTCAGTTCATTTTTCAGTTCTTTGAGTTTGTAAAGAAGAATGTGGACACTACTATTTTTTTGAACAGCCTAATATTCCCTTTAAAGGAATAACACAAATGTGATGAATTTCTCTTCTTGTTTTTATTTGGAATAGAATTTGTAGTGTTCCCAATGCATTTGCATGTATGGAAATAAAAACTATTATAAGGATTTTCAGCTTTATTCACTTTTTTAGACTCACTGCTATTACTGTATATGAAGTTACATTAAATTATACAATGAAATTTGGAGGAAGTAACATTTTTTATTGTAAGGTTATCTGCAGTAACCGTGATGTTTTTAAATACACATCTGTTATGGTACACTAACAGGATTAAGCATGCAGTGTTCAGACAGCAGAACATGTTGCAACTTTCAGTGTTGTATTAGGTGTCACTAATTATTTCAACTTGGCATTGGTGAAACTTTCACAACAAATGCCAGCTACATACATATATTACCGAAATGTGTCTTTTAGAGAAGCTATTTGGAATTCTAATCTAATGTGTACCAGAATTCTGAAGTTTACCAGAAAGTTACCAGCACTGGAAAATAGCGATCGATGCAGTACGACGTGTAAAACAGACTGTAAGGGAATTTCAACACCCATTAGATTATCAAAGTGCTATTTGGAAACAGTTTCAAAGACAGGAAGGCATATGAAAGATCATGACAGGAGCATGGCTTCTGTCAAAGGTCAGGTTGTAGCTGTTGGCTGGACTGCTCAGTAGCTGAATCACGCTTCAAACACAGCGGGCTGAGTGAGTGAGATGAAGACTGCTGTAGTGGACGAGGGGGGTGGGGGTAGTGAAACAGCAGGGAGGGAGTCAGGCAGGCCTCCGCAACAGGCAGGCCTTATAAGGGCTGGGAATACTCCCTCTCTTGTATGTGCCTCCACAGCTGCCGATGCCATCAATCAACACCCAACGTCTCTCCCGCACTCTCCCAGCTCTGCCTAGGACACTCCTGAGAAGAGTCATCACCAATGACTTACAATGCACACACACGCACGCACACACACACACTTTGCCTCCCTGCTGCCAGTCGAGGGCATGCCCGTTACATCACACAAGCTCTGCCCAGGAGTGCAAGCCACAACTCATGCCTCAACCACACTTTTGCCCTAAAATGATCCTCAATATTTTGCACACCTTGGTTATGGCCTCTTCAACACAGCTGTACTTGCTCAGATAATGGGGCCTGGAAAGGCGGCAGGGAAAAATCAGCGTAATTTATTCCTTTGGAGCGTTCCCAGCCACTGTAGCAGCACCACGAGGCACCCTGTCCAAACAAACAGGCTAATGCGCTCCATCAGAGTTTCTGGGAATAATGACTGCACACCACAAAGAAATAGCAGTCCCCCAGCCCGCTCTCATTAGAAAAATGTCCCTCCCAACTAGGGCTGCACGATTTGGGGAAAATATCGAATCGCGATTTTTCTGACAGAAATTGCGATTACAATTTGATTTGCGATTTCATTTTTTATGTCAAGCTTCAGTTCAATATTCAGTGTGTAGTGATTTTAAAACATGACGCAGCATGAGATACCATCAGTATTAACTGGTCTATATTCTAATGCAAGGATGAGATTTAAAGATGTGATGTGTCAAGTTAATAAAGTAATAATGAAAACAAATGCAGCAAAAAGAAAAATAGCGATCTTGCAGGTAACGCTTATTACCCTCCTAATAACACTAGAACCGCCTTTTCCCACGCCAATGAGCAAGCAAGAATTACTTCGGTGTATGCAGCCCTTTTGTTTGCGCTGTTGTGTTGTTAGCTGCTGTTATTAACATTAATAACATTAAACAAAACGAAATGTTCATAACAGAGTGGCTGTTCTGTCCTGAAACTGTAAAGCTGGAAATTTTTTAACGTAATATGCATTTTATAGAATGTTAAATAAATAGAAATCATTTATTGGTGATTTCATGTTGGTCGAAGTTTCCGCTTTTTAACAACTGTATACAGTTATTTTCTATACAAATAAATTTAAAAAAATGTACGTGTTCATGGTTGCAATTAAACACTTTCAGACTCTTACGCAAGAAATCTTACGGCAAATCTATATTCCATTCTGAACTTAAAATTAGCTGCATCAAAAACGTTACGGCAGTTTGCAAACCCTACAGACTATTTACAAGGTAATAAAACTTACATACATGTAAATGTGTGTGCAGAACAGAGAACAGAAAATCTCACTCCATGCAGGTGACCAAAGTTGCCAACCCTGCATTTTATTTTAAATGAGAAGTAAAATGCAGTTTTCGACTGAAGCAGCTTATCATTTATTTGCTTTG